AATTATTACTCAAATTATTATTTCGGTCGTTCTTAGTGTATCAAGCGTCTATATGCAAAGAAAAGCTAAAAACTATGGTTTTTATCATTAAATGAAGATGTAGACCCCCCCCCCCTCCGTCGTCGTCCGTCGGCGGGCCTGTCAACAGTTCACTTTTACGCGATTTCTATTAACAGCTAGGGGGGAAAACAACCTCTTGGCTTCAAGGCCGACTCTAGCCTCGTTCTCAACCCAAAGTGACGATCTCGTGCTTTGTACTGTGCGTCTATTTTAACCCAATTATTACCGCTAGCACGCTAAACGTTTAATGACTAGAAACACACTCTAATGATACTATGAATAAATAATACAGCATCTACACGAAGCCAAACAAAGTACTTCCTGTGGAACTAGGATAAAAGTAACAGACCTGAACAAATACGTGATGTGACGTATGAAAAATATTCCATTTAATTAAACTGTTTTCTGGGTCTTAATCTGACTTTATTTTGCTATCGTCTATTTTAACAGTTTTTTCAAGTAGACCTCTTCCTCCCTTCTGTACGGTTGTTGTTGATTTTTTCTGTGGTTCAGGTTTTTTTTTGGTTGGCTGGTTTGATATGGGGTTAATGTATTTCTGTTGGTACTTTCCTTTTCAGGGCCATGTCCGTTTTATGTTATCAATTTATATGTGTGTATTGTCCTAATTTTGTCAAATCACTTAGATTGTTTGTTTGTTTGTTTTGAATTTCGCGCAAAGCTACACGAGGGCTATCTGCGCTAGCCGTCCCTAATTTAGCAGTGTAAGACTAGAGGGAAGGCAGCTAGTCATCACCACCCACCGCCAACTCTTGGGCTACTCTTTTACCATCGAATAATGGGATTGACCGTCACATTATAACGCCCCCACGGCTGAAAGGGCGACCCTCAGATTGCGAGTCGAGCGCCCTAACCACTTGGCCATTAAATTACTTAGATATTCTGTACTCTGTGTATTGAAGATGCTGGTTGTACCAGTAGAAATATCTGAACTTTGATTTAATGAATGTCACCAATAATGCAGTTATCTTGTGCAATTTTCAGACAGAAATATGTATAGCATGACCGAAAACCAGTGTTTAATACTGTATGTATGAGTTGTACCAAATTATTTATATTTAAGTACTATTTAACATCAAGTAGTTGCCGAACAAAACTTTTGGGTTTGATGTAGAACTTTAATTTTCATCAATTGTTTACTAACCTTGCTCAAAAAATAGGTCTCTCCACATTAAAGGAAATCCATCCGATTCAATCAGTTCGATGTCTCGCAGTATGTTGGCGCAGAAAAAGTCCAAGAGATGGCTGAAGTTTCCTTGATTAAACCTTTCTGCTAATAATGACATGTGGTCCTTGCATCCAGACTAATTGGTTGAAAATAATAAAAATGATGTCGAGCTAGATAATAAGAACTTTTTTCTTTTTCTGTACAATCACCTGAGTTACAGTTTAGCGAACTTTTATGGGAATGAATTCTCGCTTTAAGACAAGATGAATTAGAAACCAAATCATGTCAATACATGTACAAAGATTTATAGGTGATATGGAACTTACATACTTTTTTTTCCAGTATGTTGAAAGTATTAATGAAATGAAACTTGAATACGCGAGGTATTCTATCTAAATGCAAAGAGGAATATATAAGAATATCTTATGTAAGGATTTCTGTTAAAAGTGTTTCATATAGATTAATCTGCTAAAATATACAATTTAGACCATAGGGCCATGAGATGAGTACCTTTATCCAATCTACCTATATCAAGTATATGTAAAGATATATGTTTAATCATTAATACCCGGTGAAATAGCGGTAAGTGTACAGATTGATAGTGCTTAAATCTGGGGTTCGATTCCCCCGAGTGTAAGTCTACGGATTTATAATGCTAAAATCCGGGGCTCGATTCCCCCGAGGTAGATACAGCAGATAGCCCATTGTGGCTTTGTTCTAAAATAACCAAACTTAAGTGAGGGATCATTAAACTATTTCTTAGCTAAAACGTGGATTCAAAGGAAAATTTACAAATTGAAACTGATTTTTTCCTTCTTTTTTTTTAATCAACATTACTCTGTAAACAGCTTCATCACAAACTTTACCATAAATACTGATATTTATCCCAATCTTGTTACTAGGTGCTTCATACTTTACCGTTAGATTCCTTGTAACTGTCACAGCTTTGTTCGTAACCGTGTAGCAGGCTGCGCTCCCCCAGTGAGTCTTTTTTTTAATCAACATTACTCTGTAAACAGCTTCATCACAAACTTTACCATAAATACTGATATTTATCCCAATCTTGTTACTAGGTGCTTCACACTTTACCGTTAGATTCTTGTAACTGCCACAGCTTTCTTCGTAACGTGTAGCAGGCTGCGCTCCCCAGTGAATCTTTTTTCAATCAACATTACTCTGTAAACAGCTTCATCACAAACTTTACCATAAATACTGATATTTATCCCAATCTTGTTACTAGGTGCTTCATACTTTACCGTTAGATTCCTGTAACTGTCACAGCTTTGTTCGTAACCGTGTAGCAGGCTGCGCTCCCCAGTGAGTCAGTGGTATGTCTGAAGACCTATAACGCATGGTGGGAACAGCACAGATAGCCTATTGTGTAGCATTGTGCTTAACAACAAACAAACAAAGTAACTCGCTACTTATTAAATCTTATTAATATTATTATAGACAAAACGGCTTTATCTTAAGACATTAACTACTTTATCGTATTTCTTATAACCATCGCATCATTGTTCACAATCATGAATAGTAACAGTTGTTTACTTTAGTTATGATACACCAGACTATCAGGCTATGACCACGTAATAATTCCTCCTTCATTATTACTATGGTAACTAAAACATTTCATCATTATCCTTCTTATGAATACTGTAACACTGAAATTTTAACGCTACCCTTCGCATTCTTTATTATTGTTGTAATCATAACACTTTCATGAAGGCAACCAACACTGTAACTAAAACATTTCATCATTATCCTTCTTATGAATACTGTAACACTGAAATTTTAACGCTGCCCTTCGCATTCTTTATTATTGTTGTAATCATAACACTTTCGTGAAGGCAACCAACACCTGTAACTAAAACATTTCATCATTATCCTTCTTATGAATACTGTAACAATGAAATTTTAACGCTACCCTTCGCATTCTTTATTATTGTTGTAATAATAACACTTTCATGAAGGCAACCAACACCTGTAACTATAATATTCTCACTATTAATTTTCATGTGATGTTTTTAACCATAATATATTAGCCTTAAAAATTTCGATATCACTTTTGATTTTTTTAATTTAATCGACATATCACCCACCAGCATCGCAGCTTTTAACTATGTCAACACTATAACTTTATAGATAAGGATTTCAGTATCGTGCACGATCGTCAGTAACCGTTCCACTTTTACAAACGGCATAGTTTGTTTGTTGTTTAGCGCAAAGCTACACAATGGGCTATCCATGCTGTGCCCACCACGAAGCCCGTTTTTAGTAGTGCGAGTCTGCAGACTTGGTGCTTAGTAACTAGAAGGCCAAACATTTTAGCCATTATTCATATAAGAATTTCATGATCATTACGAGTTTTGTAAGTATCACATATTCATCATTATGAATAAGAACTTTTGATCACAAGTAAATAAACTTTATATATAAATTAACGAAGCCCATTATATGTAACAAACTGATTACACGTACAAAATATCATAAGTCAATACACCAAAAAACAAACGTCTATCAATAGAAACTATGCTGGTTATAATGCAATGAAACATTGATTTAGTACCATCGTTGTTAATAACATTTACAGTAATGTATCACTAAGTTCGGCTACCTTAAGTTATCAAATTATTATCTAAGTTTTAATGCATACACGTCTATCTAAGCATCTCACCTGCTATTCTTATTTTCACTATTTTATTTTCGTAGCAACTAGCTCACCATTTCTCCTATTTCCAAATACAATGCTTCATGAGTAAGAGTATAGTTGTTAGTTCCACGTGACGTCATAAATTTCCAGCACCTTTTCGAAATGTCACAGTGTTTAGAATTAGATGCCCTAGAAGCGGTAGAATCAGATGGAAATATCAGTTTTAATCTGTACAATTCAAGCTTAATTTGACTTTTTTGTTCTCTCACAGTAAACATGTACAAAAATAACTTTTACTGGGACTGTTTCATTATCAATAAAACGAAACAAAAGTTATTTTATGTACTTAATGAATTTTGAATTACTTCAGTTCTCGTCATATTTTAGATTTGATTGTGCTTTTGAGGATTTTCTTAGATACATTAGCATTCGGCTATCTTGTCGTGCACACTTGCAAACAGTTTCTACACTAAGTGCTAAGTTAATTGATATCAATTGAAATAAAATAGATTACGCAAATATGCTTAGGTGAAGCTTTAATCCTTGTAGCGAATAACAATGTAAATTTAGGGTTACATTAGTTACTAAGATATGGTGATAAAACGATTTAGACATAAAATCAGTCGATGATATAATTAATGGACTTCAATATTCATGAATCGAGAACCTCTGAGGTGAAAAACGATTTTGTCCGTAAACCTAATAAATCTCAAACGGTCTGGCTAGCTGAGACTGTCTTAGGTCAAAATCAATATGCCGAGCACCAGTGCAATATATCCATTAAATAGTAATTATAAGTCCAAGATCAAATAAGAGGCCTTTGTTAATAATGACAACATTTTACAAATATTGCTAAATTAATCAAATTACAAAATAATTACGAATATATAAACATATTTTTAAGTAAATGAAATGTGACGATTCAATTCATTTTTAACAAGCCAGTACATTTATACCAACTCACTGTTAAAAACCAGGGACGTATTAAACTCTATACCCACAAGGTTTTGATGCGCCCCTTCCTTCTAGAAGGACTCACCAGCAAAATTATTCACTAACACACACAAACAAAAAACAATAAATTAAAATGAATGGAAATTTGTTTTAATCAAATTTATATTGAAATTACAAATATATATATATTTTAAAATGTTTATCCCTAAGATTATTGCGCTCTAGGTTCAAGCCTTGGAAGCCTATTGGTTAATACGCCCTTGGTCACGATTATTTTTTTTAACCGAGGATGTTCTTATCTCACAGGGGTGTATATCGGTTCGACACGGATATTTTGCAAGACCGGTTTGGCAAATTGCAGTTGACACATATAGGTATGTAGTTGTTATGCACATAAAGTAGTTTCTTTTGAACACAATGAACTAGTGTCATGGAAAAGTGAAAATAACATAAAATTCTTGCTCATAGAATACACAGGAAATAAACGTAGTTATGTCGTGAAAATGTTTGGACATAAGAATCCTACTGGGACGTTAACAGCTTATTGAACTAATTCGGTCACGCAAATATCCAGACCGTGTAACGTGAAATTATTCACATTTGTAATATCATCTCTGACAAAACTCATGAAATATCTCTATTAAGTACAGAAACTAATTACCTACACCGCTGACGTCACTCTCATCTGGGATCACCCCATGCTATCCAGGACGGCCTTACCTTGATTGAATAGTATTGGGGCTAAAGCAAATTGGCAAAAACAAAAAACACGCCTTTTTGTTTTGTTCGTTGCTCGAAAATATCGCTAGGATAAGTCATATGATTTAAATTGGACAAGAATCTCCACATACGGTTTGGTTCCTAGCACAATAACTGATCCTATATTATAGGTGGCAAATTCTCATCAAAGATTTAAAGAATGTGGTTGATAGCTGGGGGGGGACAAAGATCTGTCTTTTTGGGAAAAAATCTGAAGCTTCAAAATAATTTGCCTACTCTTAGTTGACATACCCGGGATAAGTCTACTTTACCACGTCTGAAGCGAGTGTCTGTTTGTTTGTTTGTTTTGAATTTCACGTAAAGCTACACGAGGGCTATCTGCGCTAGCCGTCCGTAATTTAGCAGTGTAAGAATAGAGGGAAGGCAGCTAGTCATCACCATCCACCGCCAACTCTTGGGCT